TTTTATGTTTGTCTTCTACAAAATTCATAAATTTCAGGGAGGTCCAACATGCAGTTTTCCCTCCAGTGCTTTTATATTTGATAAGCACTTTCCTATGGACTAATTAATTATCTAGGTAAATTATTTGCTAGGTTTCTCTTTTTTTGTCATCAACATCTTTACTCCATGAAGAAGTGAGGACCAAATCATTTAATTTATTTTAATATATACATATATATATTCTATGCACTATTCCCTATTATTCTTTTAAAAATTATTTAGCTAACATTACCCATTTATTTATTATTTGTTTTTTAATTGACACAAAAACTGTACATATTTATGGCTATCATATGATATTTCAACTATTTATACATTGTGTAATGGTCAATCCCAGTAGGTATATCTATCTCCTCAAACATTTATCATTGATTTGTAGTAAAAACATTCAAAATTATTTTTCTAGTTTATTTTAAATATACAGTATGTTATCATCTATAGTCACCAGAATTTATTTTTCTATCTAACTTAGTACTCACTGACCAGTCTTTCCCCACTCTACCCCTACCCTTACTAGCCGCTGGTCATCACTATTCTACCATCAACATTTATGAAATCAACTTTTTACATTTACACATAGAAGTGAGATAATGCATTATTTGTCTTTCTGTATCTGACTTATTTAGCTAACATAACATTCTTTAGTTCATTTGCATTTCATGACTGGATGTATTCCATGGTGTGTATGTACTACATTTTCTATATCCATTTATCAGCTGATGGACACTTTGGTTGATTCCATTCCTTACGAATAGTGCTGCTGTGAACAGTGCTGCAGTAAAAATGGGAATACAAGTGTCTCTTCAACATACTGCATTCATTTTCTTTGGATTGATATATACTGTGTAGTGAGCTTACTGTATTATAAGGTGGTTCTGTTTTTAATTTTTTGAGGAAACTCCATACTGTTTTCTGTAATGGCTATATTAACTTCACATTCCACCAACAGAATATAGAGTATGTTTACATCTTTTTTACAATTTGTTACCATTTGTATTTTTGATAACAGCATTTTAATTAGAGTGGTAATACCTTATGATTTTGATATGCATTTTCCTAATAATTAGTGATGTTGAGTACTTTTTCATATAAATGTTGGCCATTTGTGTATATTCTTTGAAGAAATGACCATTTAGGCCTATTACTAATTTTCAATTGTTTTTATTCTCCCATTGTTGAATTCCTTATATGTTATATATATGAATCCCATATTAGATGTTTAGTTTGCATATATTTTCTCACATTGTGTAGGTTGCTTCTTTACCTTAGTTGATTGTTTCCTTTGCTAAAAAGATGTTTAGTTTGTTACCTTGTGTCTGCTTGCTCCCTCTACCCCTGTATTTTTAGGATCTTATCTGAATTATTCTTGCCAATTTCTGTGTCCTAATATATTTCTCCTATTTTCTACTAGTAGTTTCATAATCTCTGGCTTGCATGAAGTCTTTAATCCATTTTAATTGATTTTTGTTTATGGTGAGAGAAAGGGATCTAGTTTAATTTTTCTACATGTGGATATCCATTTTTCCTAGCATCATTTATTGAAGAGACTGTCACTTTAAGTGGAATGGAGACACTTAAAAAAACGTTCACACTAATATAATATCATAGTACAATATAATAGTGTAATGACATACATGCCATTAAACTATTTTTAAATGTTTTTATTAGCTCGTTATAGTTATACATAACAGTGGTCTTCACTTTGACATAATCCTACATATATTTAAACTTATATAAACATATTTAAGGGATTGTATTTCCCTTCCTCTACTCTACTGGTCTTCCTTCTCTTTATTGTTTTTTAAAGCTGGTGTTTTGTAGATATATAAAAAAGTGAAATTAACTGTGGTATTTTCATATATGTACTTATCATGGTTTAATGAGTTTCATTCTGCAGTTTCTCCCTTTTCTCATTCTTCCTCCCTTCCCCTGTATCCTCTTCCTGTACTCCAGGGATCTCCCTTCCATTTTCATGGAACTCACCATTTTTAACCCCTTCTATTGTTGTAGCCTATGCAAATAAGAGAAAACAATCAACCATTGACTTTCTGAGTCTGGTTTATTTCACTTAGCGTGTTGCTCTCCAGTTCCATCCATTTACCAGTAAATGCTGTAATTTCATTCTAATTTATGGCTAAATTGGTACCTGGCCTGGTTCCATAAATTGGCTATTGTGAAATGTGCTATTATAAAAATGATGTGTCTGTATCACCAAAATATGCTGATTTTAGTTCTTTTGGATAAAAACCAAGGAATAGGATAGGATAGTTGGATCATATGGTGGTTTACATACTCCTAGTCTCATAATTTTAATTCACTGTATTAACTAATTGGAAGGGAAATAATGTATAATACTCATTTTCAATTAATTTAATTAGCTAAGTTCCTTCAAAAAGTTGATATAGGGAAAGTCAATCCATATGACACAGGACATTATAGTTTTAGTCTTGGGAACACAGATAATGGTTTAAATATTATCAGGAGAATGGGTTTTACAGTTCATGTTTGTATGTTTGATGATCTTTTTGTTCAGTGAGATAAGATGCATCACAAGAAAAACTGATCTTTCTTGCCTTTTTTCATCTAATCATCTTGGGTGCAGTATTTGATATAGTTTGTTAATATTTAAATATTTTTATTAGGCATAAGGAGAAAATATATACAGAATATTTCATTTATATTTTAATAGTGAACAGTGAAATTATGGTCAAAAGAATATGATTTTTTCAATAAAAGTGTTGAGTATACTTAATTTGGAAGTGGAGTTATGAGTGTTTTAAAGTCAGTAATATCCGATTCTTGGCAAAAGATTAAAAGGCAATATAAACATAAACTAATGCACTAAATTATTTCTATATTTGATGTTAATATTTTGTTAATCAAAGGTAACATATATTTGTTTTCTTAATATCAAGAGTACCTTAAAAATGTGACAGAAAACATTTTTTTCCTAGCATCATTTATTGAAGAGGCTGTCTATTAGTAAAGAAAACATCTTCTTTTTTTAAGGATCCTAAAGAATAGAAACTTAATAATAAGAAAAAACCACTTTTGAACTGGCATAGCCATCAGCTTGTTTTTAGGAATATACTTTTTTTTAAGAGAGAGGGAGAGAGAGAGAGAGACAGAATTTTTTAATATTTACTCATTTTTTTTTTTTTTTTAGTTTTCGGCAGACACAGCATCTTTGTTTGTATGTGGTGCTGAGGATCGAACCTGGGCCGCACGCATGCCAGGCAAGCACACTACTGCTTGAGCCACATCCTCAGCCCCAGGAATATACTTTTACTAAAAAAGGAATTAATACTTATTTAAGGAAAGATCAAATCTTTGTATATATTCCATTACTAGTCTCATGAATAAATAGTAATAATGAATCACATTTTAAAATGACTCAAATTTTCTTTTACGTATTAAGTTATTGAAATAATAAAATAGAAYTAAATTTCATAAGAGAAAGGCAAAGGCACAGGGCCACTATTGTGTGTTTAATAACTTATCTTCATTTTTGTTCAAGTATCTGTTGTGGGTATTTATAAGATTTTTAAATATTCACAGAAATTTAAAAACAACGAATTTTCCTCTTTAATGTTCAGGAAAAAGAAAGCAGTATTTCTGAATCATTTAATGTAGAGTCACCATAATGAATCCACTAATTACTAATTATGTTTCTTGTGGTTTACTCATATGACAGCTATCTGTGTTCTCAAGATCTGTTCAAAATTCAGAACCTAATGACTAAAATTTCAAATTTCTCTCAATTTGAAAAACATTGTAATTCTGAATTTTTTTGTTTTCATTTGTATGTTATATCCCCATAAGTTATACTATTTTCTCACAGGTTCAGTGTTTTCCTTCCATGATTTATGGGTGAAAGCTTAAAAACCAAAAGATACAATCTACAATTTAAATGTGAAACTTATTTTGAAATTCAAAGCAATCCATCGCATTGTTGACTCATAAATTAACAAATTTTGCTCCTCTTTTCTTTTGCTACCCATTCTTAATATTTATTATTCCKTGCTAATTAATCTTATAACACTACTAAGAAATTCTTTTATATTTATATTTTTCTTTTATAAGGACAAAGTATAGTAATTGTAGACAACATTTTTTTTAACCTTCAGGAATGAAAAATCTTACCTGAATTCCATGTATGTATTTGTATAACTTATTTTCTCTGTTTATTAGAGTAACATTGAAAATAGATTAAGTAAATTGTGGCATGGAGGCAGTTTTCTTATCTTTATCCTAAAATTAAATTCTAGGATATATTATAGATCTAGATAGGTCACATACAACTAGTATAAATATGTTCATCATTATATTAAAGAAAAAAATAAATAAAAAGTGGTATTCCTTAAGTTGACTTTTACTTTTCTTCCTAGAAATTCAGGTGAAATATTTAGTAGGTAGCCTTATGTTTTAAATAATATCTGGGGCTTTTAATTATCTAGTCCCTTCTCCAGTAAGTAAATTAAAAAAACAAAAACAAAAAACAACTGATTCTCTACAATATAGAGTTCTGTATTATGGGGAATTAAAAAGGTGAGAAGTGACGGGAGATAGGGCCCTGTCTGAGCATGTGTGAGGCCCTGCATTGGAACACCAACACAGAAAAAAAAGAGGGTGGGAGGGAAGTTTATTACTGGGTCTTAAAAGATACTTTTATGCCAGTTACTGATAAAATAGATAAATAACAAATATGCACATACATATATGCTCCTAAAATAAATGGTCAACACAATAAATATTATAACTATTAGGGGGAAAACAACACTGGTGGTTCATAGAAAGCACATGATGATAGCTTTGTACATGAAATTAGATTTCTTCTTTCAGGACACCTGTATTTGAATGATTATTGGAAATAAGCATTAAATTTCTGGTGAAATAAATTTTCAAATTTATTTAAACATATTTTAGAAAAATATAACTGAAGTAGTAAACAGAATATTTACCTTTAAAATTAGGTCTGATTCTTGCATCATACCCTGATGTCCTCCCCATTAATTTATCCAGAAAGTCAGATGGTGACATTGGAGTACTTCGAGATCTTGCACTATTTGTTTCCTTTGTAGCAACCAAACTGCAAGTGAGAACAAAATGATAGACTTTACAAAATGAAGTCTTTCTAACAGCTGCAACCTATAAATTTTTTAAAATGTTAAGCAAAAAATACTTTGACAATAAAAAAGAACTTTAAATACCATATAGTGGATATTACTATAATGAAACATTTATATTTGGATTTACAATCAGTGCTTAGAAAGTTTCATATATATTCAGTTAAACCATCAGAAGTGGCACTGTTTTGTGTTAAATATGAAAACAAAGTCAACTTTCAATAATAAATTGTTAATCTTTCAAAATCTGTACTTTCTCAAACTTGAGTTAGTATTTCAGGTGAAAGAAAATATAAAAATTCAGCTATGAATAATAATTCTTGCTTTATTGAGGGTAAAAAAATCACATTTTAGGTTTGGTGAATTTTTCCCGGCAGTAGTAAAACTTTTGTACAACATATGAAACAGTAATATTCTTTTCTTCAATTAAATGCTTCCTATGTTAGTAGTACACCCAATTAAATTCATTCTACTTTCACTGTGTGCCATTAATCTGTAGTACATTTTCTTCAGATTTAGAATTAGTGTTGTGTTAAGATTGGAAAATTGCATTAAATGTGATTTGAGCCCTTGGATATTATAAGATTAGAAACTTTGACTAGGAGTTTTTAAACTCCTAGTTTTCCTCTATTTTTAAAAATTTAGACATTTTCCTTTGTATGCATTTGTTCTTCTTAGAAACCCTTAGTGTAATTGCACCACTGTCCAGCTCCTCATACATATAGGGTGGTCCAAAGAAGGCCTGGGCCTACTGACTAAGATCAAATGATTGTTTTATCCACAGACTTTGCTCAGAAAAGTAAACCTGACTTTCTGAATCCAAGAATGGAGTTTGGAAATCATGTATTCAAGTTGATGTTGCTTCCTAGAGATCATCAATCATCACAACCATCTGCGGTTACTCAACTCAGAGCATTGTACCACTTTGTTCACATATTGTCATAGCACTAATTATTAAATTTCTTATATTTCTCCTGCAAGAATTTTAGTGAGTAGGAAAATGGGCTTTAGAGCATCTCCATTAATCGTCTACTTCAAATACCAGCCTTCTAGTAAATTTTTCATTTCACAGGTATATGCAGTTATTTATAGGGAACTCTAAAATTCATTTTCAGTGAAAACAGTATTATAAAAACAGTATTTATTAGCTATTGCATTATCTGGTGGTTATACCTAGTTCTGGGCACTCTAAATCAGTCCTCTCCTCAGTGATTCTCATTCTGTCATCCTAGCTTTCTTCCCATACAGAAGCTTCACTTCTTTTTGTGTTGGTTCCATATTACCGATTGTCCAATTCCTTGTCATTGTGCTCACTTGTAAGCTCTTTTTCTAACGCAAAAAAAAAAAAAAATCATAAAAATAAAAGAAAAAGCCTATTACCTTCTCACTGACTCTAGAACTTTTCTGTACTCTCTGGTTTTAAGTAACTTCTTCCTAGCCTATTAAACATAATAATTGTTCATATTCAATGGCTCAAGAATATACTGTAGAAAAGCATTGTTAGAGCTCTTATAGCTACATATTGCTGCATCTAAATGGTATCCTCTATTTTCTTTTAGAATTCCTCCTTTCAGTAACCAGATGATTAACTTCTACATTCTCCAATCATTGAAAATACCCTGTTTTCCTGAATCAGAGTCAATAATGCTGTGCCTCTCCCATTCAAAATAATAGATGACTATGTATGTTAAGCTGAAATCCCTCACATTGTGTCCTGGAGAGATGAGTTATGCAGTTCAATCTTCCATAAAGGGGAAGCAGAGATATGCTTGACATGAGGTAGAAAAGGAAAGATAATGTGACAAYGGAGGCAGAAATTGTAGTGACGTACTACAGCCAAGGAATGCCAGCAACCCTCAGAAACTAGAAGAGATGAGGAATGGATTCTCCTTAGAGCCTCCAGAGAGAGGGAGGGCCTACTTACCTTGTTTTTGAGYCCAGTAAACTGAATTCAGATTTTTGAAAGAATGAAAGGATAAATTTATGTTGATAATTTGTTGTAGCATTCATAAGAGGCAAATACCAGCCTTCTAGTAAATTTTTCATTTCAGTTACTCTACTTTCCACYACCCCAGAATTATTATTTTTATTTTTTTTCTATAAGTCCTGTCTCTTAATTAATCTTTTTTATTTGGTGAGATTTTTTTTAGATGTCCAGCAACAGATGAATTATGGATAAAGAAAATATGGTATATAAATATTTACTGAGATTTTACTGTATTTTCTTTTTAGTTCTTTGGACATGGTTTCTTTTAATTCTTTAAATGCATTATAAATAGCTAATTTAAGTGTTTGTATAGTAATTCCAGTGCCTTTGCTGCCTCCGGTAAGTATCGGTTGCTTTTCTTCCTGAGTATTGTTTCTTTACATATCTTATAACTCTTTATTGAAAACAGGCCATTTTGTGGAAATTCTGGAGATCATACTCCCCTTCTTCCTGAGATTGTTGTTGTTGCTTTTTTWAAAATAGGTTTTTATTATATGCAATTGTAGGGATATCTTCTTGCTTAGCTTAACAAGATTATTGTACTATCATTTGTAACTAATTAAAACAAATTAAATTTTTTTAAAAAGATCAGCTAATAATTAGAAAGGGATTTTCTTAAATTCTTAGACCACTGTCTTCCAATATTGCTGGGCTTCTGTGTTCATGAGCAGTTGACTAATTTGCTTTAACCTTTACTTCCACTTGCACAGGGCCTAACAAACAACCAGAGTTGAAAGGGTGTTCTTGCTCTTTCCTCAGCATGCATTTAATTCTTGTATATCAGTTTGTTAGGGAAGCCATAACAAAGTATCACCCACAAAGTGGCTTAAACTCATGATTCTGGAGACTAGAAGTCCAAGATGGAGGTGTCCGTATGATCTGTTTCTTTTAAGGGTCTCCGTCCTTGGTTTATAGAAAGCCACATTGTTTGTTTCTTCAAATAGACTTCCTCTGTGTGTCTATCCTCATTTCCTCTTCTTGTAAGAATAATAGTCGCATTGCATTAGGGACCACCAACATGATCTCATTTTATCCTAACTGCCCAATTTCCAAATAAAGTCACATTTGCATGTGAATTTCAGGGGCATAATAACCCTGGGCATGTTCAAAACCCTATACATATATGTGGCCTTCTAGATGCCAAGAAATATATGGAGCTTATATATTATTCCATTGTTTTTCCTTTTAAGATTTTGGTTAGTTTGTTGTTTGTCCTTCTTTTTACACAATTGACTTAGGCACCTGTGAAATTAAAACATTGTCTTTAAATGTTTTTGATAAATGGATCCTGAAAAAAAGTCCTTTTGCAGTTGTTGAGTTCTAAATTAGGTTGAATAAAAATAGCCTTGCAAGTGAGTTTTTCTAGAAAACCTCCAGAAAGGACTAATAATGACAATTATAGTGCAGAGGGTGTGTGGGGGGGGGAGTGTGGGGTGGGGGTGCTGGGGCATGCGGTTGTGGGGGTGAGAGAAAGAGAGAAATTTCAAACTTCTTAGCTCTTCTCTGCCACTTGTTGTGGCTTCCAAGTTGCTGTTATGTTTTGTGATTGAGTGCTGTTGGTTTACATTGTAATCATGCAGCTGCAGAGGGTGGAGAATAAGAATTGAGCAAGTTATAAGGCTACAAATCCCATGGTTCTTACCAAGAGTTAGATGTTTTTACGATTAAACTTCTTCATGGATTATTTCATCCCGATAGTTAATTGCTAGAGTTCTGAAAAAGTTGATTTTTATCAGTTTTCTCACTGCATTTATGAAGGAGAGAATTTACAAATGTCCTTACTTCACTGTTTTTTTTTTTTTTTTTTTTTTACTGGTATCAACCCCCAAACATCATCCTAGAATTCTTTTCATATTTGATTTATTATATTTTGTGTTAAAGAATTATGCGCCTCACTGCTCAGCCATGGAGTTCCTTTCCTGTCTGGATAATATTATTTATTCCTATAGTATCAACTACTTCCAATAATACTGTTTTGTAGAACTTAAAAATATCCTTTTTCATAAGTAATGTTAAGATTTGATTTTAAAAGCAAGGATACAGAGATTTCTTTGCGGGTTTCACAATAATGAATATTCAAAAATTAGAATGAATATCAGTAAATATTTTGTGCGATTGTTACTCTGCTGGCAGTAATAAAGCAATAATTCCAGCTATTTATTTTGAGAAAGAGAAAGTGAGAAGGATAAATAGAGAATATTTATATCAATACAGCAAGTGTTGCTAAATTTAGCTTCACTTTTTTTTAAAGATATATTAAATAGTGTAAAGCATGATAAAGAAACAAATGATGAAGAAGTAAATGGAATTAAGATTCACGGTATCTCCAACAATGCTGACAAAATGAAATTTTATTTCTTTAGGTAAATAAATGCTAAATTTTAATTTTCAATAAAATCCCATGCACTCATACAGTGCTTACCTTCCAAAAAGTCTTGTCTTTTACTAATAGTTTTTATTGAATCACTTCTATAATAATTTTTCGAATATTGCATTCTAACATCAATCTTAAAATGGATAATGTAAGCCAACCTAAATCACTTCTTTCATTCTCATACTAAGAAATTATACATATTTTACAAAGAGATATTTTAATAATTTGATATTTTATCCATATGAGGAGTAATGTATTAAAAATTTTCAATAGTGCCTATAGAGATTTTATCAGAATATATTTTTTTCTGTAGAACTTAAAAATATCCTTTTTCACAAGTAAAAGGATATTTTATCCTAACTACCTATAATTATTTTTTTTAAATTTTTTTTCTGTAATTATTGCTCCTAACTCAAATAATGATAGGGAGCTAATGACATGTGATGCTTTTACTTTTTGCAGTGAATGATCATGTTGCTTAAAAAAACCCTGGAATTCTGGATATCCACACTAAGATAAAAGAGTCAAACAGTCAAGGTATGAAAAGATGTAATGTGGGTAATGTGATATTGTTCTACTTATGGATATTTTTTGACTTTATG